CAGCAAAGCAATACAGACACTAACATTTGAAATACTACATTGGATTTCATTAGCTTTATAATATTGATGATGCTAATTATTAAAATGTTTCCTGTAGTAAATTGCTGCTAGCTACCTGTGCAATTAGTTCTGTGCTGTATTGGGATTACTTCTGCATTGTTCATTGTTGGTGTCAATGACTATGTAAGAAATTACTGCTCCACTATATATAATAAATAGGGCCCTACCAAATTCACAGTCCATTTTGGTCAATTTCACGGGCATAGGGTTTTAAAAATCATAAATGTCATGATTTCAGCTATTTAAATCTGAAATTTCATGGTGCTGTAATTGTAGGGGTCCTGACCCAAAAAGGAGTTGGGGGGGTCACATGGTTACTATAGAGGGGGTTGTGGTACTGCTACCCTTACGTCTGCAATGCTGCTGGCGGCAGTGCAACCACAGCAACCCTTCTTCTCCACTATTCCTGGCCATCCTTCCAAGTCCATGCCATCTTACATTACCTATCACAGCCCTATATTCCATCTCTTTGTGGGCTGCTCCTTCTTGGCCTGGTGGTCTCTCTACCAGTTCCCTAGCCCACTTCTCCCAGGTTGCATCCACTCTACCCTTTCCTCCCTCAGCTCTGTTCCTGACAATCTACCCTGCCAAATCCACTTGACCTGTCCCTTAGTTTCAGCTGACTATGTTATAGTTATAGTGACTATGATTCAGCTACTTCCAGCTCCCTTCCGGGTTACCACTAACTTCTCTCTCGCTGTATTACAGTTCCCACTCCTACCTCAGGCTCCATCTATCTAACTAGAGTTTTTGGTTTTTAATACTGTTGAGAATTGTAATTTCTCTATCTAAATATTCACCACTCCTCTCCACCCACCAAAGAATGTTATAATATTGGCATCATCCACTGATTGTGAAGTATGTGAAAATGTTGCACTAAAGAGAAAAAAAAAAAAGCGGAAAGTGCTCTTTATTTACACATTTAATACCTATACAACAGAAACATATACTCAAAACTCATTTGCAGCAGAGCACATTGCTAATGTTTTAAAAACCACTAGGAAGCACTATATCTCCACAATGATGAGGGAATGACTACATAATGCTTTGTAAGGCTGTTAATGATTGTGCATACCTATGTGCACTTAAATGTGAAATCAAGCTGTTTTCAACTATCACCAACATGTTTACATTCTCTTTTTCACTTTTGTTCCCTAGATTTGAGACTAGGAATAGGAAGTTTTGATCAATGGCCCTTTCTCTCTGAAATTTGTTTTTGCTATTTATCTAACAAAGCCTGAGTTGTTCGACCTTCAGGGCCTGGTGCAAAGCCCATCAGTTCAGGCAAGTTTTTGCCTGAGGCAGTGATGGTGGGTTTCTTCTGCCTTGAATTTGAAATCTGAGGTCAAATCTATTTTATCTATTATATTTTACATTTGTCAACCAACTAATAAGAAGGACAGTTTGGAGGAATGCATGAGTACATGATTGAGTTATAGACTTTTTAGTTATTCTCACCCTCAAACTGAATTGTTTGGCCTCAGGAAAGCACTTTCTCTGTGCATCAGCTTCCTTATCTGAGGAAAATTAGAGTAATATACACTTACAATACTTATACTTGTTAAAATAACTAGTTAGCTAACATCTGTGCAATGCTTTAAAGCAGAGGTGGACAAACTACGGCCCACGGGCCACATCCGGCCCGCGGAACTGTCCTGTCCAGCCCTTGAGCTCCTGGCCAGGGAGGCTCACCCCCGGCCCCATCCCGCTTGCTCCCTCCCCTGCAGCCACGCCACCACACGGGCGGCACTCTGGGCGGCAGAGCAGCGTGCTCCTGCAGAGCAGAGCGGCAGTGTGTCTAGCTCCGGCTGGGCGACGCGGCTGCCAGACATGCTGCTCTGAGCGGCATGGTAAGGGGGCTGGGGCTGGGAGGTTGGATAAGAGGTGGAGGGTCCCGGGGGGGAGTCAGGGGGCAGAGAGCAGGGGGCAGTTGGATGGGGCGGAGGTTTGGGGGGGCAGTCAGGGGATGGGGAACAGGGGGGTTGCATAAGTGTGGGGTCCTGGGGGGCCTGTCAGAGGGTGGGGGTGTGGATAGGGGTCGGGGCAGTCAGGGAACTGGGAGCAGGGGGGCTGGATAGGGGGTGGGATCCCGGGGGGCGGTTGGGGCGGGGGGTCCTGGGAGGGGGCGGTTAGGGGACAAGGAGCGGGGGGGTTGGATGGGTCGGAAGTTCTGAGGGGGGCAGTCAGGAGGCGGGAAGTGGGAGGGGGCAGATAGGGGGTAGGGACCAGGCTGTTTGGGGAGGCACAGCCTTCCCTACCTGGCCCTCCATACAGTTTTGCAACCCCAATGTGGCCCTCGGGCCAAAAAGTTACCCACCCCGGCTTTAAAGAGATTGGGCAAAATCATTCTTCCTTTGCTCATTCAAATAGACTCCTTGACTTTAGTGGGACTATTCACTTAGGAAAGGTAATCTGGATTTAGTCCCTCCTCAAATGCTATCCATGGACTAATTTTATTTTTTAAAACACATATATGTGACCAGACACACATGTAATAAGTGAACTTTTAGAAATCAATCAATAAAGCCTAAATGTTCCCATAACATTCTTCTCTGTCTTAAGTGTGTAATTACAGAAGTTGCATTTTTAGATAAATATGACCAAATATGACTTTTACTTACATTAGTTTTCTCTTCTAAATGGTGTATGCCTTTAGAAATGGGTTTCTTTTAGGACTGTCAAGTGATTAAAAAAATTAATTGTGCAGTTAAACAATAATAGAATACAATTTAAATATTTTTGGATGTTTTTCTACATTTTCAAAAGTAGTGATTTCTATTACAATACAGAATGTACAGTGCTCACATTTTTTATTATTCTGTGTTGTAATAGAAATCACTACTTTTGAAAATGTAGAAAAACATCCAAAAATATTTAATACATTTCAGTTGGTGTTCTATTGTTTAACAGTGTGATTAATGACTATTAATTTTTTAATTATGATTTATTTGAGTTAATTGTGTGAGTTAACTGATTAATCGACAGTCCTAGTTTCTTTAACTCACAGTTGACAAACATAACTTAAGCAGTTATGTTAAAGTAAACTCTTTATTAGCTCCTGTTCTAAAAGAATTTTAAAACAAATTACTAGTTAAAATAATATGTATTCAAGCAATATTAATAAATTATATTTGTCATCTTTGATAGAACATAGCATGTGTCTGGTCAATTCTGCCCTCACCTTCTACTCCTGTTGCTCAACTCCATTTCTTCTCCCACAAGTACCTTTGGCTTGCCCTTGTTCATTCTCTCTCTGTTTATCTTTCTCCCCCTCCTCTTTTAGTCTTGTATAGTTTATACTCCTCTTTCCCCTTACCACAGCTACAGTCAACATATATAAGCACCCCAATCTTGCTGTCCTTATTCATGCCAATGAAAATTATTTTGACTGCTGGACTGAGTACATGGTAGTTATTTTTGTGGTAAGTAATGTGTCTTCAAGACTGGGGAGAGTAGAAAAGTCACTGTCATGTGTAAGAAGACAAAGTTAAATGCTAACTGTTTAAACAGCCCTTACGCCACACTCTGGTACTAAAGTTCAAAATACTCCAACAATCACATGGCTGTTTGAAGTTGTCTAAATAAAGGCAAAAATCTACTCATAAATACAAAGCCAGAGGCTTGCAAATTTATGTGCCTAAAATTAAGCATCTAAATGCATATTTAAGATCCTAAATTAAGTGACCTGATTTTCAAATGTTAAACACCCACTACTCCTGAAGTAAATAGATGCTCAGCACTCCCTAAAAATCAGGCCAGTAATATCTACGCGAAAAACTAATTAAAAATGTGGCCAAAAGGTGCAAACAAGGCTAATGGGAACATTTTGCTCACTCTAGCTAGTGGCAGATCCATCTGGCATAATCTATAAGTATTTTAATTAATACACTAGGTTACTAAACTGCATTAAGGAACAACATACAAATAGTTAACTATTTGAACACTCCAGCAGAGTTCTTGAGATGACAGTTTGTTTACACAGCCCTTAAATCCTCCTCCTCCCCAAAAGCCGATGAGAAGAGGGGAGGGTGTCTGTATGTGTCTGCCTAGAGGCCGAGGGGGAGCGCAGGGGGGTGGCTAAACCTGATGGCTGTAAACAAGGCTGTAGAACAAGTCCAGCATGTCCCTTGCGAACGGATCCTCCCCAGTCCTCCACTCCGCCCCCTTGTAGTCAAATAGAAATTGAATGTGTATGGACAGTGCTGCACCAGGCCCCTGCAACTCCTCCCTTCACTCCCACCATACTCCCCTTGCTACTGCCGTTTCGTGAACGAGATCAATCTTGTGTTCGTGTTCTTTGTTTAAACGCGAATATGCAAACAATTTTATCCTGGACCTTTCGAAATGAGGAAGGGTCTTCCTGATCATTTCTCTACAGCTATTAAGCCAAACTCCGAGCCGTGCCCGCTAAAGGGTGTTAGACAGACTTGCCCTCGGGATATTTTTAAAAACCATTTGCCTTTTTTTGAGATGTAAAACGCACAGGATTTGTTAGAATGGTTCTGGGAGAAAGAGAACGAATAGCTTCAGTGAGCAATATGTAGGGATTTGCCAGAGTCCAAACAGCTGATGTTGGGGGAAGGGGGACGTCTTGGACGCCCACCAATAAAAACAAACCAGAACCCACACCTAAAATGCCCCGATCAATCACCCACCCCACCCCTATTTTCTCAGCTTTCAGTGGCAGGATGGCCGCTTCCCCTATCTCCAATTATTGCTGGTGTGCCACCCAGACCGGACATGCAAGGAGTTACAAGAGGTGGGGAAGGCTGAAAAGAGTTCACACACACTGCACCTCCAGCATATCAATCATTTGCAAACACAGCTGCAGTGTGCAGCTAGACCCAGGGATCCCCTGCTAGCTGTCTCTCCTGCCAGTTCGTAGGCATTCACTTGCCCAGGCACCACCCCTGTTTTCCTCTTAGCAACACGCCACTCACACGCTTGTTTGTGCTTCCACCGGCCGTTAAGCACTTTACGTACACGCTGCAACCTAGGCAAGCTCGGGGTGGAGCTGCGCAAAAAAATCCGAGTGTAGGCGAGCGTTGTGCATGGAAGTCACACAGAATAACTCGCCTGGAGTTGGGCCAAACCAATATTGTGTAAATGCAAAAAATGTAGGGGGAGAAGCAAAAAACAGCACTGACACCCCATGCCGATGCGTTCCTCCTTGCCTGGCATGCAGCATGTTGGTTTTGCATGTCGAATCAAGGGTTTGGAAAGAAAAAATATTCGTTGATGCACACACCCCCTCCACAGTGGCTGCTTTTGGACTGCTCCATGTCCTGTACATAAGGGGGTGTGGACTGGAGAAGTACTAAAAAGAGTCAGCAAGCAAAATCCGGAGGGTGGTGTGTTTGTTTTCTCGGGGCTGTGCAACTAGACAGTCTCAGCGGCAAAGAGCGTCCGACGCGACCTCCCTGCTTCTCTCCCTTTCTCCTTTTGTCAAACACACCCACTGTCCTAGGCAGTTGTTATTCTGTGGCGGTTTGCACCGGGATAACAATCTGCTACAGAAGGAGGCGAGATAATCTCTTCTAGGCAGCAGCCTAAAGCTGGTCAAGCTGCCCCCCAGCCTGCAGCAGCTCAGCCAGGCTATGCGCTGTAAAAGGGCTCTGGTCAAGAAAAAAACAGAGCGGATTGTGAAAAGGTAGAGGCAGCAGGAAAGCCCCTTCGGCTGGGGGGAAACCGCAGTGCTTTACAAACCAGCAACGAACAAGCCAACCCAGAAGGGGGGGAAACGCTAAGAAGAAGACGACATTGAATTTGCTTCTTTGGTGGTGGTTGGCAGCTGTCCAGGGCTGCAAAGAGTATGTGAGAGGGTTACTATGTTGAGAAGAGAAGAGCTGATCACGTGTGGCACAGGAGCCAGGGGTGCCCCCTGGGAGCCTGCCAGGGCTGGGAAGGAGGAAGAGGTCCCGGAGGCCTACCAGCAGCAGCTGAAGGAGGGAGCGCCCCGGAGGGGCTCCAGCAGAGCTCGCTGGCACCACAGCTGGCGTGGAAGGACCCCCACCTTCTCCAGGAAGCTTTTGGGCAGTAGGACGCGCGCCCATTACCACCAGCAGCAGCAGCATTGCAGGGCCTCCCAGCGGTGCTACCGGCCCACCCGCCCCAGAGTGCTGCTCTCTCTGCGCCCCGTCAACATGATGGGCAAGCGAGCCCCGGGCATGCGGGCCCCCCGCAACACCAACCAGTTCCTGATGCGGGAGAAGTACCAGCTTATGCACCTGCGGTCAGACTCGGTGGGCACCGAGAGCGGCGGGTCGGACAGTGAGATGAACCCGCTGGATATGGACTCTTACCTGGGGGTGCTAGAGAACTCCCGGGGGGCGCTGATGGATTTTGCCGAGGACTCTCGCTCCTCCTCCTGGTCTCCGCCCGCCTCCTCGGCCGCCACTGACTCTGAGCCCTCTTCGCAGCAGCAGCTGCGGTTTTTCGGTGGCGGCTTGGCGGACGTGCACCAGGAGGAGAGCTTGCAGTACTTCCCCTCCGAGGACGATGTGATCGAGAGCGAGACATTCATGGAGAGGGACTTCCACGAGTTCTGTAGCAGGATTGCCTGAATTGGGGGGGGGCCATTTTTTACAAATACCCCCTTCCTCCCCTTGCGTTTTATACTTGGCTGGGTTATGCGGGCGATCGCATCTCCGGGGCACAGCAGGATCCGGTCGGGCTGGGTATGTGGATTCTCATGAGTAAAATGGTTTTCCAAACGTTAAGTCCATCTATTGGCATTTGAACTCTGCAGCCCGGGGAGGGGAGGACGTGGCGGGGCATTTTGTCCCCCGGGGGAAAGGGATATGGGATTACATACTAGGCCTTGTTTGTTGGAGCGCTTTATTTATTTTACCGCCACCCTTTTGCGTTGTTGTCAAGGGGGGGCCAGGTCATTTTATATTTAAAAACAAAAAACATGCTCCGGATTGTAAATAAAAGGAACTTTTGTAAATTAAAACAAATCGACTGGGCGAAGTGTTTGTGCTCTATCTGGGAAAATGTGTCTGTGGGAGGAGGGTGGCTCCTGCGTAGCTGTGCGGAGTGTGCGCCTAGCGGAAGGAAGAAGGGAGGAGGAGCGCGTCTAGTGCAAGGGCGGCGGGCAGGATGGGCGTGCGCCGGTTTAGCGCAAAATCCGAGAAGCCCCCGCAGTAGCGGTTTGTTTCTCCTCCTGTTGACAGCGGAGGCACAAAACACACTCCTTAGAGGTGGGATGGAACAGAGGACGGACGTAATCCGCTCCCAGCTCAGTGCAAGGGGCGGGCCTCAGTGCGGGAGGACCTTGCCTGGTAGCCACCAAGAGGGAGCCTCTGGAGGTTGCAGCAGAGTACATGGGAATATGAGCGTGGCTATAATAATCGCATTCATCATACTTAAGGTTAAGATTTTGTCACGGTTATTTTTAGTAAAAGTTAGGGGCAGTACACAGGGTGGGGGGGGGGAAGATCACAGCCTGAGCCCTGCTGCCCAGGATGGACTGACTGCCTGAGCCCTGCCACCAAGGGCTTTACCCCGCTGCTGGTGGGGGGAGAGCTGAAAGCCCATGGTCCACTGCCAAGGACAGACTGACAGTCTGAGCCAAAGTGCCGACTCCGTGGGTCCGCCGGGGCTGGAGGACCCATAGGGAAAAATTCGTGGGTGCAGACAGCGCCCCGCCCCAGCTCACCTCCCCGCCGCTCCACCTCTTCCCCTGAGGGTGCTGCGTGCCCACTTTTTCCCTCTGGCTCCCAGCCCTTGCGCTGCGAAAGTTTTTCAGGGGCACGTGCTGGGAGGAGGGGGGAAGAGGTGGGGCTGGGGTGGGAATTTGGGGAGGGATCCGATAGGAGCAGGGAGGGGGCGGAGTTGGGATGGGGACTTTGGTGAAGGGGTTGGAATGGGGGTGGGGCAGGGATGGAGTTGGGGTAGGGGGGCGTGAGCACCCACTGGTGCCAGGAAAAGTTGGCAGCTATGGCCTGAGCCCCACCACCCACGGCTCACCCTGCTGCTAGGAGGGGGTGGGGGAGCTGGTAGCCTGAGCCCCACTGCCTGGAGGGGGAAGCTGCTAGCCAGAGCCCAGCTGCCTAGGGCAGACTGGCAACCTGAGCCTCGCCACCTTTTTGCTCAGCCAGGGCAGGACTCGGCTTTTTTTTTTTGCTCTGCCAGCGGGCAACCCCCCCAAAGTGTCCCAATATTTTTTTCCCGTCATCTGGTCACCCAAGGGCAGACTGACAACCTGAGCTCTGCCGCCTAGGTGGGGGAGCTGACAGCCAAAGCACCCAGGGCAGACTAGCAACCCAAGCCCCACTGCCTGTAGCATTGCCAACCCTCCCAGTTTGGCTGGGAGTCTCCCAGGATTGGGCTCTATCTCCCGGAGGCTACTGAAGCCAATCCGGGAGATTTTAGTCTGCTAAAAGTCCAGCGGCGCAACAGGGCTAAGGCAGGCTCCCTACCGGCCCTGGCTCCGCGCTGCTCCCGGAAACGGCCAGCATGTCCCTGCAGCCCCTCATTGGAGGCACAGCCAGGGAGTCTCCATGCGCTGCCCCCGCCCCGAGCACCCACTCCTCAGCTCTCATTGGCCGGGAACGGGGAACCATGGCCAATGGGAGCTGCAGGGGCGGTGCCTGCAGGCAGGAGCGGTGTAGAGTTGCCTGACCACCCCTGAGACTAGGAGCCACTGTCGGACATGCCGCCGTTTCTGGGAGCCACCCTGCCTGGCTGGAACTTGCACCCCAAGCCTCCTCCTGCACCTCAGCCCTGAGCCCCCTCCTGCACCAAAACTCCCTCCCGGACCCTCACCCCTCACACTCTCCCCCACCCCAACTCCCTGTCCCAGGCTCAGCTCTGAGTCCCTCCCACACCCAAACTCCCTCCCAGAGCCTGCACCCCCCTCCTGCACCCTTACCCCAGGCCCAGCCTGGAGCTCCCTCCCACACTCCAAACCCCTCAGCCCCACCCCCCAGCCCAGAACCCCCACACCCTCCCAAACCTCAACCCTCCTGCCCCAGCATGCCACCAGTGGGAGATGACAGACCAAGCCCCGCTGCCCAGGATGGACTGACAGCCCAAGCCCTGCCACCCGGGTGGAGGGAGCTGACAGCTGGATCCCCACTGCTCAAGGCTCATCCTGCTGCCCAGGAGAGGGGCTGACAGTGAGAGCCCCACCGATCTAGGGTTACCACCTTTGAAATGGAAAAAAAAAAAGGCACCCACCCCCACACACAAGGCAAGTCTGACAGAACCCCAACCACAAGGCAACTCCACAGCCTGCGCTTCAACAGCCACTTATAGTAATTAGAGAAAGAACACATACAGATAAGACTGATAACATCATTTTCTTACTTAAACTGCAGAAGTGGGAACACTGCCCATCTTTAGCTGGACACAGAAACCTTTAACATTAGATATCCAAGTATATTGTGATAATGCAAATCTTTAGAGCCACATAAAAAAACCCAGCAGATTAAATTATTTTTCTAGCAACTGGCAAATCCATTAAAAAAAAATGGCCAGGTCGGTCAAATACAGGCCAGGTGGTAAACCTTCGCCACCCAGGGCTCACCCTGCCACCCGCTGATAACCCTATTTCCATCGCCTAGGACTGACACTCAAAGCCCTGAAGTTGCGGAGGTCACCAAAAAAAAAAAAATCACAGAATCCGTGACCTCCATGACAGACTCGTAGCCTTAATCATACTGAATGTGAAATGGTGAACAGGCATTTTACTGTGAGAGTGAACCACAAAACCAGACCAGAAACATTATCGATCTTATTTATATCATGAGCCAGGGGGAGCAGGACTGATGGTAACATGGGGGCGGGGAAAATAAAGCAATAGATATCTTTGCACTCTCAGATTCCAGCCATGAATAGTAGGGAGGAATGAATGTCTACACATCCCCTCTTCCCCATTCTCACACAGGGGATCAGATGTGAGACATATTTTAATAAAATATGACAGAGAAAAGACAAGCCCACATGTCAGACAGAGGATCTGTGATACCCCAGTCCATTTGCAGCTATTAAAAATATAGTAAGCACCAGCAGCAAATGGGGACTCTAAACAGAAAGAGTACTGGATTTTTATGATTAATAAATATTGCTTGTCTAGACCCTTTTTACATCTAAACACAAAAAGGAAAACTTTTACCCACACACCAGCCCAATCTTGTTTTCTGGCTCCTTAAGGATA